CCGCCAAACCTCTTCAGTTTATGCCCCATTATGCCCCCTTCAAGCCCCCCAAAACCTCTTTATGCTCTTCCCCCCCCTCCCGCCCCCCACCGCATACAATAAATATCTTTAGGGCGAGGAGGCCTGCAGGGCCAAGAGGAGCACCAGCAGCGCCAGGGGCGGAAGCACGGCAGCCAGCGGAGGCTTTCCGGCCTGCTGGTGCAAGGGATTGAACGGCTTTGCCTCGGACTTGAGATTTAGAGGCTCATTACTTCCACGGGGGTGTTGAAACTTTCCCAGTCTTCTCAGGACAACACTTCTGTGCTTGTGGGAGGTAACCCGAAGTGGCTCTTCGCCCTTACTGGTGAGCCCAACTACCCCTAACTCCCTTAGAATTGCATCTTAGTTCAGCATTTGTATCGGTGCATCGGCCGTCGCTCAGTCCTTCTACTGGCCCTCTCAGTTGATGCTTATCATGCTCGTACCGCTGATCGCAAGCCTTGTCTAGGTTGCGCAGAGAAGAAGCGACAAAAACTGTTTGTGTGGCCTGCGAAGACGCTTAGAGTCTTAGAGGCACCAGGCGGGACACCGCCCAACCTCTCTTTCGCATTGAAACCCTGTGCTATCACACCCAGAGCATGTTTCTGCCAAGACTCCGGGTGACTCCGCTTCCACGCAAGCAGAGACAGAAGTGCGGCCTGGACCCAGGATAAGAGCAGTACACATGTGCAGCGGAGCTGCGAGTAATTATCCGGAATTTTGGTCCTTTCACCACGGTGTGCTGAGATAGAACCAAGCGGCTCTGGGCGTGTCTGGCTTTGGTGTTCTGGGCATTTCGGTTGCGAGAGGTTAATGCTTCAGGTCTATAGGGCTTTAGTGTTCAGTTGAGGGCTTCGAAGTTTGTGGGGCTGCGCTCGTCGAGGGCGTAGGGATATGGCAAGAAACGCCACAGACTCTATTCCATACGACGTACTTCATATAGTTAGTATGCCTTTTATGTCCCGTGACTCGGGAAGGGACAGCCGCGTATGGGCTTCAGCCGGCAAGGATCTCTCTGCGTTAGGCTTTCAGATTTTGCAGAACTGCTTTGGCTAAAACCTAAAGAAAAACTTAACCTCTCGACCAATCCAGAGCTCTGAGCCTGAAGCCCATAGCTCCAAAAGGGAGTGTTTCAGGATCGGGCTCGCTGTTAGTGGATGCTCTGGATCACCAGCTCGACTCTCCTTCTTTGGTTTTGGCGTGGCTTCCGGCATTGCATGCTAGCAGGATGGCATACGTATATGTATATTTTTGGTTTAGGTTGTGCTCCCTTTTCTGGAGACTCGCAGACTGCAAACACTACTGCAAGGGTCCGGGCCCCATTCTCTTTGATGCAGAGCGGCGAGCCTTCTTCCCCCAATCAACACCAGTGCAAGGCTAGGCATGCTCAAAAACAGGACCCACCGGTGAGACAACCGTTCCGAATTCAGGATGATGTGCAGATATACAGACATGCGTGCATGCATGAATGCATACAAAAGTGCATGCATGCATACCTGGCCCGCCTACATGCATCATGCATACTGACAAACATACATACATATGTGTACACAAACATGCATCGACACACTCGGATGCACGCACATACGCACTAGGGTTTTGGTTTTGCCAGGAGTTCAAGCAGCACATTGGCATCTACGCACACGTCTGGAACGCTTTGCAAGTACACTTCCCTTCTTCTCGCCTGGGTCCGGCATAGAAAGGCTCCAGGCAGGCTCCCGACGAGAAGCAGCAGCACATCAGCCGGGCTCAGGCCTTCGGTTTCAGCTCTGAGCTGATACATTGGGTTTGCAGTCGAGATGTGAGAGCTCACTTCAAATCATGTCTCTTTTGCGAACAAGATGAAGTTTAAGAGCTGCGTTCGGGCCAGGACACACTCATAAAGCCGATGCTGGCGGCCCAGAGGCAGGAGCCGGGTGTAGCCCAACGCCTTGCCCAGACGGCTTTCGGCTTTCGAGCTCCAGGTCTGAGATGTTCGATGCTCTGATTGCTCGGGGGCCCCTCCTCGCTTCCTTGCCCTTGCTGCGTGTAGAGGGCGCCTTCCACCGCAAGCCTTCGCTCAACAGCTCCCCACGCGATGAGATCTTCGAAGTTTCGGAGTGCATCTGTGCTGCTTGGCAAACTCCCATCCCAACTCCTCGTGAAGACACGGGATTCCCCGTGATGCAAGATCCGAAACCCGACAACCACTTTCAGACACAAACGTCTTCAAACTCCAAGTATGGCCAAGGGTTCGACAGGGTGTGAAAGCAAACTCCGGCTTTCTCAACGGCTGTAAGTTCCGAGCTCCGGCGTGCAGTTTAGGGGTTATACAGTTAAGGGATTATAGGGTCTTAGAGCTGCATCTTCTCATGTAGGCCAAGCGGGGCTGATAAATTTCACCTTCATAGGCGAAAGCTGCAAAGCAAAGCAATCGATAGCTGACATGCAGAACAAGATCATCCTCACCAACCATCTCTTAATCTGGAACATCGACAGACTGCTGCAGGCCTCACGCTGCAAACCTTGAGCTCCACTCTCCGATTCCTGCTGTTCTACTCCCGGCACCCAAACACACCAAAAGCCTTCGATAGCTCGAACTTGCGCTCAAAATTCCTTTCGACATATTTAATTAACTCAAATCCGATCATCCCAAAACCCAGCCGTCATCGGTACAACTGCATCGGCAGTCGGACTTATAGGCTCCAAGAGTTAAACTACCGGACAAGGCTTCCACACCAAACTCCGGAAGCTGCTGCGGCACCATCCAAGCGTAGGGAAGGAGCAGCAAGCGCAGCAGCAAAGCCAACCTGATTCAAAACAGCCGTGGCCGCGGCTTCGCATTTCCGGATTCTGCTGAATCCAACCTTCGCTTCGCAACTACCTTCTCCATCCAGAGATTGATTCTGCCCGCGAGAACTGACACTCCAGAACGCATGTTCCAGCTTGATGTTTTCGCCGACTCGCAGACAACGTAAGCAGGCACCTTTGAGCTTCTGAGCTGGGTGGTCGGGTGATGGGATGCAGCAAGTTTCGGTTTAGGGTCTCGACGTTCAGCTGCCAGCCGAGGTATAGAAGATTTTTGTGCCTCCAAACCTTTGGTGGAGTCCTAGGGCCTCGGGCATGCTGCCTACGAAACTTCTGCCTCACTGCTGTGCATTTGGCGGAGTGCATCTGCGAAAAACTGATTATTGCCAGCGGCATGTGTATCTCTTCCACATGAGAGAGTCTTCCTGAGGTGATTCCCGGATCAGTTCAAGTTGAGGGCATCGAAGCCTTTTTTGGATTAGCTTCGATCTCCGAAGTTTCATGTGCACAGTCCACAGTTGGGCTGAGGCTCTGAGAGTCTCAGGTGCTGCCAAGCAACAGGAAGTCCCACGCGGTTCCGCCGAGGAGTCGGATTACCAGCAATGCAGGTATCGACAACTGGGCAATGAGTTTTGTGTTCGTTGATTGAAGACATGGAATGATTAGGACTTGGAAATGGCAGGGTTCAGGGTTCGGGTCGGTGCTTGAGCCACCATTTCGATAGTCGAGTTCTGGGTCCGCGATGTCGCCCAATCGTGACATCTCTTTCTTTTTATCTCGGCTATTGGAGACATCTCCTCGCTCGGAAGGACGAATTTGCGGCAGATTTCATTGCATCGTAAGCCCAAAATCGCATACTGAAGGGCAGCCTCCAACGATGAATACAGGTCCAGTCAGTGCCCACCACAAAAGCCCGCAGGGGTCTTCCGGCCAGGAGTTTTTGTGGAGGAAAAACGTGTGGCGTCGGTCAGATTAGGGATTGAGTCTGCAGCATTCTGGGTAATCTGGGTGAGCATATGCGCGGCAAAGCGACCTGCACCAGTGCGACCGCATACCAGGAACGGTAGGACCTGGAGGGTCTGAAAGTCTGTCTTTCTTCCTGATGCATTAGGAGGCAGAGTATGCCATTCACAGCTAAGGGGCGTGGATTTCTTTCTGAGTCATCATATGCAGGCTGACGAAGGTGGCATCTGCTGCCGCCGAACGGCTCTCGAGTTGGCTCTCTAGACTCTAGAGAAGTACAGAACACTACAAACACAAGACCGAACTAGACATACAGCCCTTCGACCGGATACGGGGTTCTTGCCCTGCTGCACAAGAAGGCTCCAGCAGTGAAGTGGAAGTGAGACTTCCCGTACGAGTACTTTCGGCATGAAATTTGAAAAACCCGAGCCCGCAACTATCCTGAATATAGATACGGCTTCACAGTTCCGGTACTTCCCAACCAAGTCGTACTGCCCAGCTGGGCCTGAGCATCTCCCTCTGCACACGTCGGAGTCGATCCCAATGCCGCTTCTCGCGATCCCTCTGTGCCTGCAGCTGCTCCTGAGTGGGGGGGGTTTCGGCTTCTGTAGGTTCGCAGTTGCGTGCATATATATATATATATATACCTGTGAAGGTGCACGCATGTTTATTTCAGTCATGTTGTGCGAACGCACACGAATTGGCCAAACGCATGCTTCTGTCATCTCAGGGCCAGCATCCCTGAAAGAGAAATCGCTTCAGACCACCTTTCCTGAAACTCCAGGTTTTGATTCCTTCAGGGGGCTCCGATATCCAAGCTGGCTCGATTGATCAGTCACCAGGCACAGGCCGATGGTAAGATGTGCACTTTGTGGATTGCGTGTCCTCGATGATAATCGTCTAAGATCATATCCAGCAGGCGGTTCAACAGCATATCGCAGAATCTAGCTGGTCCCAAACACTTGCCTCGAAACCTGTGCCCTCATGTGTGTTCCTCCCGAAGATCGACTTCGCAGATGGGGTCATGCTGGCATGCCCTTATAGACAGATGCACTTTGCAACAAGCTTTTTCGATTCCCCAACTCGACAAGCTCAGCCAGGTGTGGTGCGCAGCCGCGGCGGTGGTGGCCAGCTTCCTGCAGAGCAGGTCAGCCCTCCCACTTGCCGGGGAAGCATCTGATTTGTTTTGCTGCTCATGATTGGCTACAGGGGTCGCATATTCTCTTGTGATCATGGTCGCAGTTGGGGTTCAAGATCTCGATCCGTTCTTGCTGACAAGCATGCTGAGCTTCGATTCATGTGTGAAAGATTGGGAGAAACACCGGAGCCTTCGAAAACGTGCTCGAAGTCGAAGTGTTCTGCTTGTGGACAGCAAAGGAAGGAGCCACGTCTCGCCTACCCTCTCGAATATGAAACTGAATGCATCACTGCTTCGTCCCTTCACCCGAAGGATGGCAGAATGTGGTAGAATACGCAAGCCAGTCAATCTCATCAAGGAAGTGTGCCGGACCTTTTATGACTCGGAAGCAGCATCCGATGATGAGAAGAAGGACACTACAGATGCAAAGTTGAGAAAAGAACGAAATATCAACAAGTCGGCCGAAATTATCAAGACCATGCTCACGGCGATCAAAAGAAAGTGGAGCTTGTGGGAGATACCACGTGTGCCACGGATGGGACATAACAAATTTCATTGAATGCTATTTTCAGTGCTTCTACAAACATGCTAACGACATGTAGTCGGTACGTGGTGATCAGGATGAGGAGCTTCGTGCAATGGTTTTCGATCTGGCTGAAGCCGTGTCGAAAGCATATTCGGAACTTAGCATCGAATGCAGCAGCGTGTTTTTGCATCTTGTGGGGCATACACTCATGACATATATGTGCAGTGTGATGACATTGACTTTGTGTTTGCTCATGCTGCTTATCCTGACTGCTCAATCTAGGAAGGACGCTGCGCATTAGCAAAGTCGCCGAAGGCCCGCCAGGACACAGGTGACGAGGAGTCGAGCGACGACATGTTTGACGATGAGTCACTCAGGTCGTCTTTGCGCAGTGCATCGCGTGATTTGGCTTTGTCAACACCCTCGCCTGCAGAAGCCTGCCTGAAAGCCCCTCCTCAAGCTGAGTTGGAGAAGCTGTTGGGGTTTAGCTTGGACCCTGAGAGCTACAAGAATCTCTTGAAGGCCAAGAAGGAGGTCACAAAGCCTTCGCATGAGCCCAGTGAGCTGTATGTGGCTGAGTGGGACGGGGAGAAGCCTGAGAAGCCTGATGAAAATCTGGCTTCGGGTGTGGATGCTCCGATCCACAGCCAGATTTTGCAAGATTCGACTGAGCTGGAGGATGGCCATGCTAACAGCCCGGTAAAGCCCCTCGCCTTGTCTCCTGGAAGCCCTGTGCCTTGGTTTCAACAACAGCACAAAACTTGTTCCTGTGCCTTGAGTGTGTATGTTTCGTTTTCGATCCAAAGCATTATGTGCTCCTGCTTTCAACTGGCATTGAGGAGTTCATCAGCTACAAGGCGGCACCACCGCGGACTCCACCCTCAAAGCCCTCAGGACTTGCTGCACAACTCGCGACAATGGACCCCCAGAAACTTAAAGAGGTTTTGGCCATTGTGAATGGCAAGTTGCAACTCACCTTTGTTTGTCGAATTGTGTTCAGTTGCAAAACCCAGATCATGATACATTTCATATACATGGTCTGTGGTCAGATATTGGGCTAAGGTATGCTTGTGAGAATGCGAAGCGCCAGCTCCACTTCGACGGCTGTTCTGAAGCCTCCACTGCTAGTGGTAGCAAAGGCCCGGTATGTGGATGGATCCATCAAGTGACTAGGCATGCCGAGGTTGTGCTAGCTAGCATGCATAGACCTCCATTCTTTGAAGCTGGGCAGGTTCATCGCGCACCGACAATGTGGAAACCCAAGCGTGGGCACCTTCACCGGAGGATTATGTGAACTCGTGGCTCGAGCAGCAGAGACTTGAGCACACTGCCAGGGTTGAAGAGGCCCGTGCGGCAAAGGAGAAAGAGGAGCATGACGCTGCGGCCCAAGGGCTGGAGGATAGGCTTCGCAGATCTGAGCAGATTGCCAGGGCTGCTGCTAGGCTCAAATTAGATAGAGTGTGCATGTTTGGAGCCGTGCATCATCTTAGCTGTGTTACCGACAGATTGCTTGTTTGCAAGTTTGTTTCATTCTGCTGATCATCTGAGTCTGCTGAAGTGGTGACTCGAAGGGACCAGCTTGGATTGACAGCTGCCAAGAAGAGCAAGGAGGACTCCACGGAGCTCAAGGACTCCAAGGCTGGTGATGGTGCTGACGAGGAAGCGGAGAAGCCCGCCAAAGGCAAATCCGCTGCGAAGAGCAAAGCAAAGGCCAAAGCCACCCCGAAGTCCAAGGCCAAGGCTGCTGCTGCGCCGTCGAAGGCGACGGGCAAGCGCAAGGCAAGTGCTGAGTGGGATGGCGGTGTATGGGACGAGGAAGCTTGGGACGAAACTTGGAATGGAGACTGGGAGAATGACTGGGGCAATGATGGGCATTGGGAGAAACCTTCCAAGGCCAAGCCCACGACGGGCAAGTTTTCCAGATCGAATTCCAAGGGCCGCTTCAAGAAGCTCAAGGCGATGAAGAAGATTAAGAAGAGTGGTTCCAGCGAACTCCCGGATAATGCCACGGAGTACTATGGTGAAGGCTCGAGTCGGGCTGTGACAGGCCCTGAAGCCAGTGCCGCCTTGGAAGCACCGTCGCGGCGTGTGAGATCCAAGGGAGCTAAGCCGGAAGAGCCGGCGGAGCCTGAGGACCATGGGCCGGAGGCCGGAGCCGGCGACGGCGACGACGAGGAGGAGGTCCCGACCTTTGCCCGTCGGTACTGCGGGAAACGGCCCTACTACAAGGCGAAGTTCTTTGCCATCCGTGACGCCTACAATGACAGGATCCGAGTCTTTCTGACCAACCATTCGAAAATGGAGGAGACTTTCACTTCTGTTTAGCTATGTATGTGTGTCTTGGAGCCACCGTTTCATATACTCTATAAATGTATGCATGTGCTGTGGACCTGCAGGATGCTTTCTGGCGGTATGTGGCCCAAGAAATCAAGACCTCGCCGGTGGAGGATGCAGATGCCTGGCCTGAGGTGGTGCGGGCTATGACCTATGGCTTCTTGAGCGATGACTCAGTCAGTGTCTTGCTTGCACTGATCTTGCAATCCATGCTGTTTCCTGTATGGATGCATAACATGCATGTGACTTGGTGCTCGAGGCAAGACATGGACCTCGGAAGGGGAAGACTTTTTCGTACAGTGCCCAAGCAAGAAGAAGTACGAAGCAAAGCTTCGTAAGTATGCAGCTGACGCAGCTCACTGATGTGTTTATCGAGTGGCTTAGCTTTGGCTGCCGTGGGGTGATGCAGCAGCCACGATGATTTCATGTTCGATCGGTGGCCACCGCACAAGTGCCTGAAACGAGCAATACTCAGGTGTCATGTGCATGGTGCTTGAATTATTCGACTCAGTTAGTCTTCTCAAAGGTCGTATGACACATGCAATCTCTAGCATATAACTCCTGCAATACTGTGGGCATTTTGCTTGTGCCACACTCGAGCTGCCGATCCCATTTCAAACTTTGTGCGTCTGCACCTAGGCATGCTTTTTGCAGCAGTGCGATGCTACAAGAGTAACAGGGGCAAAATGTTCCTTGCAGTGCTTCAGCTTATCTACCCTAGGACAGATTGATGTGTGATCTGCAGCAAGGTCGTTCGAGCAAGTCGGGGTCTGCCTGTAGCTGAAAGCTCATTGTAGCCTCCATGCAGCACGCAGGTGGTGCCAGATGCCAGTGGACCGATCACGCCGTCCTGATTGCCACAGTGATGACACTCTCGAGTCATCAGGCATGTCCTGCATGTGTTGCAGTGGTGCTGTGCCCACTTTCAGTTGAGTTGTGCAATGTGTGCATATCTCACAAGCTATAGTTGTCTCTTCTGATGCCAAAGCCAATTGCGGTGCATTCTGACAGTGCATGCGCATCTTTATTTGCACTCCACAAAACAGTTTGATAGCTCCAGCTGAAGCCCCTGTCTCCTGGTCTGTTGCCATGGAGCTGTATCGCCTTGTAGACAACCTCATGCGGGTGAAAGCTCCAAAGGCCGGGACTGTGCTTGCATATCAGAATACACGCATGCAGCACTGGAAATGCAGATTGTGCATCTACCAAACACGGTATACACATGAGTGGCAAGCACACATGCAATGCCAGGGAGACTTGCTTAGGAACCTATCCGTGCTGTGTGATTCTGCTAGTGCTAGAAAGGAAACCCGAAGCCGCATAAGATCCTAGCCATTCTGGACAACACATGTTGATGCAGGCCTTCATCCTCGTGATTTTGTGCCTGGTGTTCAATACTCGACTGATCTGTGCCTTGAACCAGGACTCGCGCAGACCTTTCTAGCCATGTTATGATTAATTTCCATGCATGCTGAATGCCAGGAGTTGTACTTCTGCGAGCACTACGCTGGGCAGGGAATCCTGACTCGGGAGATTCAGGCCATGCATGGGCCTGGTGCTGCGCGACTAGATCTCGTGTACCACCGTTGCATGGATATCTGCACACCAGCTGGATTTGCGATCTAGCCTCAGTCCGTGATGTAGTTGGAAACATAGCATTCGTCATGCAGTCGTCAAGTGTGATTGCAACTGCTGCTTAAGTCGAGGTTGCACCTTCTGTCGGTTTTGATGGCCAAGAGATCAGGCTTCACGTTGTGGCAAGGGCTACAGTGCTCCAGCTGGGTGTCAATATGCCGAGCCACAAGCAAGAGATCTTTCTTGCAGCCGTTGGGTGATGACAACATGGCCTTTGTTTCCATGGGCAACAGCCAGCTTTGCAGGACCCCCCCCCAACAAAAGCATTGTCTAGCTGAAGTTAATGTGGGCAATCTATATACAGATTGATGATCACTATTCGAGGAGACGATGCATGCAGAACCCTAGCAACTCTGTGCTACCTTACCCTACATACGAACTCCAGTGACTATAGCCTATTCTGTTCTGTGCAAGTCAGCCCAACCACAGCTTGCGCCTTGTCAGGACTGTGCTGGTTTCGCTTCTGTGTGTGGCTATGCAAGCTACGTGGGTTCTCGAACAGCCAGGGTCCTCCCTGATCTGGCGCCATCCAAGATTCCAGTGGCTCTGTACAACACACAAGGCCATAAAAAGGAAAGCTGCAATTCTAGTTGTGGTTGCATGCCAATTTTAATGTGCTACCCCCAAGACAGCCTCTGAGCCCTACCTTGGAGGTGTATGTGTGCCGAATATGGATGATGCACTATGGCCACCGGTGTCCGAAGAGAACGGTTTTATGGAGCAGCAACCCGAAAATCCAGAAGTTCTTTCGAGGCAGGTTGACTTCGGCTTTCAAGGCTCGGCAAGACAAGCTTTATGGTCGTGTGCAGCCAGTGAACCGCAAGATTGGTAAAGATGGCCGGGTAAAGTTCACGGGTAATGCTGCTTTGAAGACGACTCAGACATGGCCTCAGTTTCGCTAGTCAGCTAATCAATCATGCAGTTTTCTTGTACTGGGTAGCTACGTACATAGTATGCAAGGTCAAGCAAGTGCAATCATACCCATAATCCGTGAACATCCCATAAACATGGCCCAGGACTTACACCGAAAGTTTCGGGAAGCACATGGCCAAGCTGCTCCGAAGCTTCAATGCCTCCCCGGCCCTTCGCCCAGTTTCGATGGTGGATGCCTCGGTCGTTCAGAGGCTTCAGAACTTAGATATGGAAATGGATGATTGGGCTGATGCTGGGCTTCGCGATGTACTTAAGTACCTTTATGGAGCCAAAGGCTTGGTTATTCCTTTCGAATGGAAGGGCTGCTTCCCTACTACGCATTTTGCTTAGTAGTACATATGGATGTGGGCCGGTGCTTCACGCAACATGCTCTTCGCTTAGCATGCACATGCATGTCTATACACACATGCACTCGTGTGCATGTCTGCATGTGCATGTGCAGTTCACACGGTATATGTATATACATGATACATGCATGCATGCATGTGTCTGTGTACTGCATGCATATACATGTGTGCAGCTTAGACGAGCTCATGCGTGTGCTTGCCGGCACATCTCCCACTAGGTCCGTGCATGTGGTACACTGCAATGCAAATTAATGTGCAGCTGCTGATCTTATCTGTGTTGCCTGGGCACAGAGCTTGGCCAGCCTTGGAAGATCCAGGTGATGCGCCACGGCTTCTTTGCAGTAGCCTGGGTTTCTCACTGCTGGTTTGGCACGCAGTATTGTGTTTCGGTATCCATGCCAAAAAGGGAGGGGCCGGTTTGTGCTCTTTGTCCGCATATGAATACCAGTCTCTATTGCCAACATTAATTGAGGGACTGCTGTAACCAAGTATTTCGGACGGGGTTTCGTGTGGGGCTTGGTTAGCTTGGTCGGTGATCTCGATCGATCACTATAAACCCCAAAACCCTTGAATCGATCCTAGACCCCCAAAGCACAAACCTGAAACCCCCATACCCCCTAAGTCCCTGGCCAAACCCGCAAACCCAAAGCCCAGAACCCGAAACCCCGAACCCAAGAGCCTGCTGTTCGTCTATATCGGTCATACCACACCAGTTACTTCAAAAGGCATGCTGGCTTCAGAGTTGCATGTACCGGCTTGATTAAACTCAGCCCCTGCTATGCAGACTCGATATTAGATCGATCGGGCAATAAAGGGGGGTTTCATGCAGGCCTGGCGAGTGGCTTCAGGGCTTCAGGGCCCGTGGCTTCAGCTGTTCATCGAGCTACATAGATCGATCGACGATAGCGCTATATACCTATATAGTACGTACACTTTGGCTAGATCAGCTATATATACATATCCTGCATGGTTCGTACGATCGCGATCGATCTATGTAGCTCGAGAATATGTGATATGCATGCATGCATGCATGCATGCATGTCTATATCGCATCATATCGATTGAGCCGTCATGATTATAAGCTTCAGGGCTGCGGGCTTGAGGGTATATCAGGGTGGTACGACCTCAAGGTTCCATGCCGGGATCTGTATAAGCTAGGCGGTTTCAAAGCTGCGTGGCTTCCGGGTTTGAGGGCTGTACGGCCTGCAGGTTTCAGGGTTGCAGTGCATGCTGCATATATACATTACCGCGCGTGTGTGTGTGTGTGTCTAGGCTGTTAAGGACAGGCTGCGGCCACCAGGTGCATGCACTTGCATGCGTGGGGCTGTGTGTGCCTCACAGGGTTGCGGGGCTAAGGATTTCAGGGCTTGGGCCGTTTTGGGGATCATGGCTCGATGAGGCTTGTGGGCCGGCCAGCTAGGTTGTATACCATGGGTCAGGTGCTTCAATCGCTACTTACGGACTTAAAGGCTACGAGCCTGCTATAGCCGGCTCACAAATTGGTTCAGATAGGCTTTCAGAGCTTGCGGGCTTTCAGGGCTTGCGGGCTTCACGGTTGTGGGTTTCAGGGCTTGCGGGCTTCAGGGTTGCGGGCTTCAGGGTTGCGGGCTTCAGGGTTGCGGGCTTCAGGGTTGCGGGCTTCAGGGTTGTGGGCTTGAGGTTTGTGGGCTTGAGGTTTGTGGGCTTCAGGGCTGCGGGCTTCAGGGTTGCGGGCTTCAGGGTTGCGGGCTTCAGGGTTGCGGGCTTTAGGGTTGCGGGCTTCGGGGTTGCGGGCTTGAGGGTTGTGGGCTTCGGAGTTGCAGCTTGTATCGTCTCCAGCAGGCTGCAGGAATGCAGGTTGTGGCCTTGGTTTCCCTTGGGTTGCGTACTTCAGTGGCTCTGGGCTTCAGGGCTGTAGGCCTTATTCCTCGACCGACTGGTTGCGGAGAGTGTGGCTCAGACCTGCAACCGATTTGGAAGCCCGCAAAGCTTGATCTACGCAGCTAAGTTCGGAAATGCGTAATTTGGCCAAAACCAAACACACACTTCTAGGCACGCAACACACACTTTTAGGCACGCAGCACACACATTTGGGCACGCAACGCATGGTTCTGTTTCAGGGCTGATTTTGGCAGGGGTTGCGCAGGCCACAACGTGTTTTGCTTCCGAGCTCGCTGTTCGGTGCTCGTGAACGCCATGGCCCTGAAAAGGGATTGCCATTCGGCAGCCACTTTGGCATCCGGTGTTTCCTTCTTGCTGCGTGCTGCTTCGGAGGGTGATATTGATAAGCTGAAAGATGTGGCCCAGGATTGCCATGCATCATGCACATGATGTCATACCTGTGTGGCGATCGGAACATGATCCATACAGTACGCATCACACAATGTTCGCTACAGTATGTGCTGCATGCATCATAAAATCTAATCCGTCTATTTGGACACAGGAGCTGCAAGCGGCCATCAACATTGCCTCCGCTGAAGTGAAGACGGAGCCCGGGACAGAGTCGCAGCTGCGAGAGCTGAATCTTCTCAAGGTGCCTGGGATTGCATGATCTGTTCTATGCAATTCATGTTTTTGCGGTTGCTCTCCCCAGACACAAAAGCCAGGGTGGTATATGTCTTAAATTGAGGCTGTGGGGTATGTATATGTGAGTATCTTGTCTGTGCATACATACGATCCATCCATGCATGCATCTTAGGTTAAAGAAGAACCGTGTGATCCTCCAGCCGCAGTCTCCCAGCCTCCTTCCACCCCGACGCCTGCGAAAAGTATCCCTTCGAGCCCTTCGGAGCCTTCATGCCCTGCTCTTCAGCAGGACCGCTTGTGTTTAATGTCAGGGCCATGATCTCGAATTTATCGATCGATCAGTAAGCATCTATAGGACGCATGCATGCAGTATACGATGTGACTGCATGCACAATTGTAAAAGCTGCTGGCAGGAGCTGCTGAACAAGCTTGCTCAGCTGCAAGCTGCCTTCCTAGAGCAGAAGATGGAGCTCAACCAGCTTCGCAACACCCAGGGCCAGGAGCTTCCGGCAGATTGGGGTTCCATGTGTACATGTACAATCTTAATACGTTTCCTGCGTGCATGTTTTGCATGCTTGCATAAGCCAAGCCCCATCAGGAATCCACGCCGCAGCCTGCGCAGAAGAGCCAGCAGCAGCCTGCTGGAGATCCTGGCAAGGCTGTAGCTCGGGTGGAGGCAACCCCTCGAGGCTCCAAGAGAGCCTTGCCGGCATCCCCGGCCAAGAGTCAGACAACGGCGGCAACGAAAACCCCCGACTCGAAGAAGCATGCCAATAGTGGGACCACGATGGGTACGAAAAGCCCCGACTCCAAGAAGCAGGCTACGCAGGACTCCGATGACGATGAAGCCCCTCGTGTGATTCAGTTCAAGGACCTCTCTAAACCGGAGAAAGAAAAAGTTCGGCGGATCTGCTCGCCTAAGAAGGGCTCTGGCAACCTTGAAGTGCCAGAGAATGTGTTCCAGATGTGGCAAGATGTGGCCAAAGGCAGAGATACACTTTTCCGGATGTGGTGCAAGTCCGGAGGGGTCAAGGTGGGAGTTTTAGGCTGCAATGACCAGGCATGCATGCATGCATGCACTAATGATGCGAGCTAATCGATCGATGCATGACCATCCCAAAGGCTGTCTTCATGGAATCTTTGACTATCATGACTCGATCTCGACGATCCAAGAAGCTGGAAGTTAAAGGTGGCTTTTATAGCCGAGAAGATATGCGGACTGAACTTGGCTACAGCCAGAACCCCGTGTGCATTTTATTCCACTTTCTTATATAACATCCTAGCTAGTTTAAAGACTGATCTCGAGGCTGCCTTGTGTAAACCCGCCATCGACTGGGCAGCCCAGGAGCCGCATCGAGAAGATCGTCGCCTGGGCTGAGAAGAAAGGTCTTGTTCGGTGGCTCGGCATTGCATCGTTATTCCACTCGGTTGCTGGTGGTGAGGTTTCTATGCATGTGGGTGGAAGCCCGTCCGATCCTATATCCCTACATAGAGACTGCCTCCCTGCTCGACAAAGGACATGTGAGTACGATGATGAGACCCTCGAGTACTGGGTCAACACGAGAACCTCCGGGACATTGACCAAAGAGGACTTGGAGGAAATGCGGCACGAAAAGAAGTACGAAGGTGAGAATGAGGGTGACCTGGAGATGGTCCCGAAGGTCAACACCGATGGCTTCGACTTCTCCGACGATGATCCAATGGTGCACCGGAACCCGAAGAATCTTGAAGGAGATTGCCACAAAAGTGCCTCCTGGATTCTGCTTTGCACGATTGCCAACCTGGCATCACATGAACTGTAGCTGTTTACAAATTATGCCCATGCGCAGATCAAGGTTGCATCACAGATGAAGGAGTACACGAAGCATGTGCTCAAGGCTAAGAACTCCCTGGATACGATGCTCGAGAAGATCCGTGTTTGTGGTGCTGCAGACAGCAAAGCTTCTGGGTGGCTTCTTGTGCATTAACATGCAAGCATGCGTGCATGTTTTCTCCAGTGTGCGGACTGTCGGTTCCCGGGTGCCCGCCTGATAATGCTGTGTAGTGTGGCCAGACCTCAGGGCCGTCAAGAAGATGGAGGCAATGCTCAAGGAGTTCGACACTCTCTATGATGAGATGTCGGACGCGAAGGCCGAAGGCAACACGACGGGATACTCCGAGAAGCTACCGACTTGCATTCTAATCTTCTGTCATGCATGCAGCTTGTCACATCTAGCAGTCTGGATCCCTACAACACTGAGGCTTCAATGCGAGGTGAAAGGCTACTTTCTCAGAGCTCAGAAGCTGCAGCTTGTCTTAGATCGATGTCAGATCATCAATGTTCATGTCGAGACATTTAACAACCTAACCCATGTGGCCTGAGTCACATTCAGCCCAGGATGTCCAGAGCCTCGGCGCTGGAGGCTTCCAACAAGCTTTGCTCTCAGTGCTCGAGTCACTGGATCAGCTCAGATTTGCATGGGTGATCAGAGCATTCTCGCTAGCTTCCTAGATCGATCGTTCTATGCACATCAGTATATTGAGATCCTGTACTCTAGGTTTTGGATCAGACGTGCACACAAGCTGACAATAATCGAGGGTTGTGAGGCTGAATTTCTGTTGGTGAGTGTCTGTAGGTAAAGAGTTTTGTGGTATTTGAAGGCCAGGTCGGGTAAGGGATGCTAGGACGGCTAGGCTTGGAGACGGGTTTATCTTCGGTTTCGAACTTCCTGCAGGGGGCTTTGGATTATAGTGCACCGTACATAGATGAACCCAGCCCCTAAAACTTTCCGCAATCTTCAACTACATCCAGTGTCTATGATCCCCGCCCACGCATTACCCTGGCTTACACACCTAGCCTCGATGTATCTAAAAATCCCAGGACCTATGAAGCTTTCGAAATCCTAGCCCCAGACCCCCAACCTTTCTATATAAATCGACCCACCCTTGCTACGGAATTTGTCTTGTCCTTATCCTATCACCCCATTATGAAACCTAGTCGGGATTCAGAGAAATGCATGGCAAGGGAGAACATAGATTTTGTCGTTGTTGTGTGTGATCCTACTGGGTCAAAAGGATGAAGGTCTGTATGTACCGAATTAACATGTATAGGCTCCAGGTTCATAGCTTCGAGTTGAAAAGCTGAAGAGAAGGAATTCAATGTTATAGCTTTGGGGTTTCGGTGGGGCAGTATATACAGGGGACTGTCCTGCATGGGTATCCTAGCAGGAGCTGAACCTAGGATTAACTGGCCGGCCTATCTTTACCCTGGTGCTATACAGTTTTACAACATATCTGATATGATATATGAATTTGGACAACCCTTCTAAAGGCTGTGTTCCAATATCCGTAGCCTATATATTGCAGACTGAAAACAGTTGCTCTGCAATGAAGTATCCTGCCTTCAATTTCGAGGACCCCTGGCCTAAAAATCATCCGGATCTATATCTGTGCAATGATGAAATGAAGTATAATCACTGTAGCTAGGATCATATCGAGATAACCTGCTCCTCCCAGGCAGCTGCTGAGCAAAGCGCGCAAGGCTGCCAGGAAGGATGAGAAGGATGACTGAGCTCATCCTGAATGCCGGGATGCGGGCTGTGGCTTTTGATTTTGTGTCTTCGATGCTACAGCTGCATTGAAGGCCGTGTTCGGCCGTGTTGGTCTTCAAGTGTTCCGAAGCTAGTTAGGGATTGCCATTGACATGTCGTACATCCTCCTGAAACATCTGCTGTTGATCAATCGTGACACGAATGTAGGATGCCGAGCTTAGGACTTTAGGCCTGTGTGCATTGCTTAAGGTTTGTGCTATAACCTTATCTATATAGGTACTATGTAGGACACTAGCTGCAACAGGGTGTATGACGTGTTTCGGCATTTATGTGGATGCCCAGGGCTCCACCACATCCATGAAAGAAGTTGAAACACTTCTTGGGGAGAAGTTCGGCTGGCATACTAATGTTCAGAAACAGCTTTGTTTATTCATGCTAAACTATCTAACCCGGGACAACAACACTATAGTTCTTAAGTACATAGGTGGTCGTGCAGAGTCTATGCTTGTTGTGATTGTGGTGGTCGTCGTATATATGTTGCATATGCCAGCTAAACTGAGCTAGATGCAGGCATTGGTTTACCAATGTCTGGCCGGGCCCATGTGTGCTTCTGAAATCTTTGAAGTGACGAACACGTGGATCTCCAGGGGGTGATGACTTAGGCAGGATCAAGCAAAAGCTTTGCTGAGGGCAGGCTTTGTTTAATTCCAATTAAGGGCTTCGAGTGCACTATACAGATGATAAGCTCCGTTGGGATGTTTTCTCAAGAATGTGCAGTGTGTACATATTCGAAGTGTGTGACCGTTGAAGAAAACCTCTATCCAATCTAGCTCTTATTGCATTGCTTTCGTCAACCCTGAAAACACTCTTTATCCTAAACCCCTAAATTCATCTGTCGCCCACTCTCAAAATAATGCAAGACCTCTCACAGCCCGAACACAAACTTCGGTTTGTTTCCCAGAAAGAAACAAAGCAGGATCCCAATCAATGTCGAGATCGCCAGAATTGAGTTAGTTGCCCACGCCAGGCTCTGTTACCCCCGTGATCAGCGAGCAAGTCTACTTGATTGCTGTGAAGTACGGCAAAGGCGCCGGGTCCCCGGCCCATATGTCCATTCGTTTCTGGAAGCTCGTTGCACCTGTGGGTACATACCGATCTCGTTCACACGGCATGCAAGCAGCTCTTCAAGTAGCTGGACTTTGTTGTCAATGCTTGATCAGCTGTTTCGGAATGCAATGTGGTAGCCTTTGAGAGCCCCGTAATGATAAGCATTTGAGTTGATCGACCTGTAGCCATGACGACAACAAGCAAACTGGATATATTCCCATGGAGTGAATCCGAAGATGAGATGATCCAGCTGCAATGCAGTGATGTTGACATGGGTGCTTCTCCTACCTCGGCTGCTTCTGTGACCACCAGAGAGCCTCGCTCCTCATGTTCTTCACCGGGCCGTTCCATAGCTGACCTTGATCGGAGAGTGATTCCCGAGACTTCACTGGCATCACGTGTTTTGTGGCATTGCGTGAATGTTGTGAATCGCATCCGGGGAGAAAATGGCGGGCCCTCACTTTGCGTGTTTAAGATTGGCCTTACTTCGAATCCTCTTCAACGGCGGGAAAGCTATTACGAGCAGAACTTTCAATCATTCGTTATCATACACGAGGTTTGCCGAGTAGAACTGCTGGCCATGCTGGAGATGCTGGAAGCCGCTCTCATTGCAGAGTTTCATGACAATGGCCGATGCTGCCGAAACAAGCAACTGGGTGGGGAGAGTATGCGAGCAAGAGACTTTTCGCCTAGGTTCCCGCCTCCATATTTTGCATACTGTGTGGCTACAAGTGCTGCGCAGCGCAAGCCGATTCTTGCATGATTGGCTGAACAAAGTTCATCACAGGTGTGTGTGATTTCACATACCCTAGCTGAGAAATCTGAAAGTGCTCTCAGTTGCCGAAGCAAAAGCCCGATTGTGTGACAATCCTGATGCACATGTGTCATATCCGAACTTTTGCTGCTTGATCCCTGCAGTTCTGAAGCCAGTGCTCATGTTCGATCGATATGTGTGCAGAATCTACAGAGTTTGCTCTGCCAAGGTGCCTGCCAAAGACCTCGTCATCGACGCGCGGGCGGCAAAGAAGAGGGATCCTTGCGAGCTGTTAGCAAAGATTGCAAACATATCCTTGTCAAGTGCTGATGAGCCACTGTTTGCACTGCTCTGCAAACATGGGCTTACTTTGCCGATTGGGTTAAGTTGGACAGCGGCTGGCAGCATCAACAGGTACCCGTTTCTCAGCCCCAAAACAACACTGGAAGTTTTGAGTCGTCAGGGCTACTTCCATCGAGTGACGGGGGTACCTGTGCACCTAGTACATGAAACACTTGGTTTGTTTTGGAAAAAGTTTCGAGCTGTGCACCCTCAGCACAGTGTATTCGACAACTCTGACAATCTGGACTTCGAAAGGCTGATCCCTTACTACTTGCATGGAGATGGTGGCCGTGGCTACAAGAAGGATCCGATCGAGATATTGTCCATGTTTCCGGCGCTTGGTAGTGGGTCCAGGGGGGCACCTTGTGACTTAAGTTCGAAGCGACCTGCACAGACTGACATCAAGCTCGGCATCAACCTGCAAGGAAACTCGGGGGCCACTCGGTTCCTGTTTGGTGTGGTGAGCAGCTTGGTGGCGAAAACTGATCCTCAAATCTTCGATGATCTTGTGGCGAAATGGAGTGACAGCTTGAGGTCACTCTTTCATGACGGCTTTCAGGCTGCTGGGTCCACGTGGCGGGTCATGATTCTCGGATTCACTGGTGACTCCCCGTTTGTCAAGAAAATCGGCAAGACCACTCGGTCCTTTCATAATGTTCGGAAGTTTTTCTCTTCAAGGAAGCCCCAGAAGGGATGCTGCTGGTTATGTCATGCAGGCCACGAAGAACCGGAGCAGGGCATAGCTATTCCTTTTGAGCATCTGGGTTTGTTCGAGCCTGAGTGGTTGAAGACTTGTCGCTTGCAGAACCCATTGCCCTGGGTTGGCAATGGTGGTGCAATTCTGCATCACATGCTCTTCGACAAGGCGGACACACCGGCAAGCTTTTTCAGGCCTGATCTGTTCCACATATTTCATGCAGGGGTAGGACAAGACTTTACGGCAAGCGCCTTGGTCTATTCTATGAGGGAGCTTTATGCACAGCGCGGGGTCGCCAGAAACCTCGAGTGTCTGAATGCCGACTTGCGCACTTGGATGCAGAGCTCACGCAAAAGGCTGCACTGTGGTTTTTTGACTGAAGATCTGCTGGGCTATAGCTCAACGCGAGAGTTTCCAGAGGGGAAATGGTCAAAGAATTCAGACACTTCCACCATTGTCAAGTTCGTGATACACCTTCTCCAACGTCCGGACTATGCGTACAAGGTTGCAGGCGACCCCATTCTTCAAGAGATTTTGGAATGTGCTTTGGCAATGGGTCGTGTTTTCAGGTCTTGCTTTCAGGCCGAGTTCTTCATGGCAAGTGCTGACTGCATAGTGGTGATCGAAAGTGGCCATCGATTTCTGACTGGTTACGCCAGTCTCGTTTCCATGTGCCTTTCTCAGGAGTTATGCTTATTCAAGCTGCGGCCCAAGACCCACTACCTGAACCACGTTATTCTGAGGGTCTACGAGGAATACCGACAAAGTGGGACAGCAACCAATCCCTGTGCTGAATCAACATTTATGTCTGAAGATTTTGTTGGAAGGACAGCAAGAATCAGCCGCAGGGTGAGCCCTAGATCAGTGGCTTTGAAAACCCTGCAGAGATACTTGCTATTCATGAAAACAGCATTGGATAAAGAAAGCTTCGAGATGCTCGATCTCTCATGGCTCGACTGAGTCACTCTGCAGCACTTGGCAATACGTACGATCAGTTTGTGATGTATGTACGTTCTGTAGTCGGTCAACACTGAACTTTCTCAACTCAAAACACGCTTCCCAGGTACGGTCCTGCAGACTCCCAGGATGCTGAGCTCGATCGGCAGCAGCGTGAAAATCAGCATTCATACAGTGGGGCTTTCGTATTGTTGAAGCTTTGGGCTCTAGCTTGTTATTCGGGGACAGTCATATGAAGATTGAGGTCGTTTGAGGCGCATATCTCCAAGATTTCTGCGGCATTACATCTGTGAATTCCAGGAAATGTCAGCTCCCTGTCAGCTCTTGTTTGGTTTCGGCTTGGAATTATATGAAGACCGTCAACCCCGAAAACCACTAACCCTGAAACCTGGATCCTGGAAAAGTAGGGGTTTGGGTAAACGCACACTTCTGAGCCAAACGCTCACTTCTGCCAACAGAAGTGTGTGCGCATGTTTATTACCAGGTGTTTACCTCCCCAGGTATATATATATATATATACATATCTGTGTGTGTGTGTGTGCGTGTTTGCGTGTTTGGGTTTGGGCGGTGGGATGTCAATGGGGTGGGGTTCAAGGAACTGGGTGTCGCGTTCTCTCCCCTTATGCTATACTTAACCTGAAACTCAACCCGGCGCCGTGGCCAGGGCCAAACACACGACTTGAAATGTCAATAGGATGGCCAATTCAAACCTACACCTTCAACCCCCAAGCTCCAGAAACAAAGAGTGAAGGCTTAAAGCCGATTTCCCCGAGAGTAAAGCCCTGAACAGGCCTTCCCCAAATCGACACCGGCTCCTGCAAGCGCTGTCTGTCGACTTTACCAGTCACAGGGTGTCGCGGAAGCCTTGTCGGAGTGTCCGGTAGAAGAAGGCATTGTGGCTTTGGAGAACCAAATCCACAGCATGGATCCAACCGACTGGGCATGTATAAAAGTATAAACACAAACAACTCCACAACAGTGCACGTGATAAGTGTTAAAGGTGTACATATACAAAATAGATACATGCATGCATGTATGCATGCGTATGTATGTGTATGCATGTATGTATGTATGTGTCTATATATATGTATATATATACATATATATAGACATAGACACGCAGCACGCATACGTACACATATTGAAGGTATATACAGAGAGCGAGAGAGAAAATACATGCCGAGCGAGAGAGAACAAGCACAACGAAGAACTCAACGAAGGCCGTCGCAGTGCCTGCATGAACAGAAGGACGTAGGGCAATGCCAGGAAAAGCTGGAAGCAGGAAGCCAAGATGACAAGCATCACCCTCACAGCATAGTGGCAACGACAATTGAAAGATTCATCAGCATATCAAGCATGAAGTGTCCGTAAAGAAGCATGACAAACATGACCGGCAAGGCAGTGATTAGAGCGACTGGGGTGACGACAAGGACTGCCGAGTGCGGACTACCGGCCACTGACTACGACTGGCCACCACCACCACTACCGCCACCACCACGACCACAACTGCCACCACGACGACGACTACGACTGCTCCTGCTGCTGCCGCTGCTGCTCCTACTGCTACTGCTACTGCTACTGCTACTGCTACTGCTACTACTGCTGCTGCTACTACTACTACTACTACTACTGCTACTGCTACTGCTACTGCTACTGCTACTGCTACTGCTACTGCTGCTCTGCTGCTGGTGAATCTGCATTGAGCAGACCCAACAGCAAGCGGAACACAATCGGTTGAACCATGTAGGAGCTTCAAGGCTTGGGGGTTGAGGCTTTTTTTTTGGGCATACCAAGATGGCAACGTCTAGGACGACACCCCAAAACGAGGCGACGACACTTTCCTCTCATAGCCACGGCACGCCTTTCGAACATTCAGTCGAACGCCGGATCCTGACAGATCCAGGAATAACCAGGCGCGGTACCGTGAAGGAGCACGGCAGTACCATCTTGGAAAACTCAATTCAAACATAACAAAACTCTCAGAGAGCTGCCCAAATGGCTGTTATTATTGCATCAGCCCCCTCTAAACTCCAAACTATAAGTTCCAAAACTGACTTTCTCTGGGCATCCGTGGGATTCTTGTGGGGCGGCTTCGCAGAGGTTGAAACCCTTGAAGCTAAGCCCCGTGAAAGCCATGGCATGGAGGGCTTGTCATGAACACCACAGCTTCGAACTAAAACCCCGAAAGCCCACATCCGAGGCCTTCGCACAAAAGAGGGACGGGTGCTATCAGCCTTTTTGGTTGACCCTTGCTTTTGTGAGCACGTCTGCGCTTGCTGCTCGTTTTTTGACAGATCCCGTAGTCTACTCCCTCTAGATTCTGCGTGGTTTAGTTTTCTTGGTGATCTGGACTGGGTGTTTGCGGTAACCTCCTCGGAGATGCACCTGTTGAGTTGGAGCTGCTTAAAGGGGCGGGCTTCACTTGTACCGAGAGTTTTTGGTGATGAGACAGCTTTCAGGCGGGTCTAAGCCTAAGCCAGGGGCCCTAGACCATAGACCCATTCCAAAAAAACGTCAAGGCAACCTGCTGCCCGCGCTGCCGCCGACAGCGTCTCCGTGAGAGGCCGCGACCTAGGGCGGAGCTCTTGTTTAGGAGGCTCTACAAATTTACAGTTGAAGTTCGGTCTATCTCCAGAAGCTAGCGCCTCTCTTTGAACGGCAGGGAGCTACAGAGAGAAAACAACAGCAATGATTCCAAGGTTCGACATTTCACCCGGTTAGGTTCCATCGGCGAAGCTGGAACCTGCAAAATTTTGTGCGCTTTTGAGGTTCGCGGATAAATGCAGAAGGCAAGAAGGCTGTCGTCCAGGTTTGGAGCATGGTAAGGTCTTAGCTTAGAGTCCGAGCTCCGAGATTGCCGACTGCCTAGGGACCTGCACCTGGGGCGAATCGATTTAAAAGTGTGTCTTCAAGCAAAGGCACTAAGGCCTTGCTTCAACCTCAACCTTACACCCGCAACTGTCCAAATCCACTCCACCACGCAGAACAACCCCCACCCGTTATCCCGGCCCAAATCGCAAGAATCAAAGGCCCCCGCTCCCCTAAACCTGGAGACTGACACATGCGGATAGGCATGTTGAGCTGTCGGGGTGGAGGCATGTTCATTACAACAGCAGCAGGCATTTGTGGTCTGAGTCTCTTTTATTTTCACCACCAGAGCAAACCCGTAACTCTCTCCAGACCCAAGTTCCCAAAAAGATGCCCATCGATCTACGTTGAAAACACTACGGCCACGACAAATTCAAACGTACAACTACCCGCCCCATTAGTCTGACGATCTCTTTTGCCGACCACGCCACAGTGCCTCCTCCTCATGAGTGCAAGGTGCAGCTCGGTCATCATTAGCCCCAAGTTTCAAATTTTCGTATCTGTGCTGTCCTCTCCGAATTATATAGCAGAGACCCCACACACACACACATACACACACACTAAAGTCCTGTTCCAACGAATAAGCCCAGATTCGTTCGGCAATTATTCTCTTCGTCTTTCACACACGCACTGTTTGCTTGTGGTCAGCATTATGGTTCTTGCCAATGTTATCCGTGAGTTGGCCGAAAGTTGCCGGTGCCTACGGCGAAACCGCTAACATCCCCATACATCCCGAGTCCTACGAGCACAATCAACCGCGAACTCGGCAGCCAAGATGACCAACATCCCAACATAATTCGCCCGAACCTCGGCAAATCTTTCTTTCAAATTGGGTCGAACCACCTAAGCCGCAAACCCTAAGCTTGTCCTCCAGGGTAACGAATGCCTGCATGCAGTTCGAGCTGCGTCGGCTTATTGTTGGCTCGGCTTTAGGCTCCTTCATACAGTAGAGAAGGCTCTTCTAGAGGCTTTCAAGTCCTGGGCCGAGGGTAACATAACGTCTAGTACAGCGAAGCACCCTAAGCCCTAGGCGTAGTCTTGCAGGGTCTACTGCTGTGGGCTCAGCCTCAAAGGGCCGAGTGTGTAATTATCGGAGCTTTGGATTCGATTCGTCGCGCACGAGCTCAAAGCAGGCACGGATTCAGGCAAAGCGTCCCGGCTTTGGGATTCGGGGCTTTTTTTCCCACCCGCTCGGGGCTTTGGAGGCCTGGGTGTTGGGTCGTGTTTCAACAGCCAGGCCTTTCGAATTTTTCTAGTTGTTTCACACTCAGCCAAAAGGTGACCCCCTGGCAAACCCTGAAGCAACGAGCCATGAGCCCCAAAATGCCCTCAGTCTCAATATCCGGAAAGGAAATAGAGACGAGCCGAAAAACCCAAAATATCCCAAAACAACACAAGAAGGTCTTTGTGCCCCAATTTTTTGCCTCACGTCTGGCTCGGACGAACCTACGATGCACGATCCTTGTTCCCCTTTTGCTGCAGGCGTCCTTGTTCCCCTAAAGAGTAAGTCGTTTCTACAGCTCTGCCGAGGGAGAGTGTTCGTACGTAGTATCAATGAGTGCTCGCGATAGCTGGACACCCCCGAAGGTGCATGTAAGTAGAGCTTCTCCTTGCACTTCAGCGCAAGGTGGCGACGTCTGTGAACAAAGTCACATTGCCTGTCGGCATGCCTTGTTCTCTCAGGCTCCCGGATATAATTCGATGATTGAATCCTCCATGCTCTCAACACTCTATTCCGTTGCCTCCATGTCCATGTGAAACTCTGGCACTTAGCAGCTGCATCTAAACACGCCAAATTTACAAGCCGCTATGCCAAGCCCTACTAACCTACTAACACCTTAAAGCCTAAATCCCGCGCTCTGCGCTGAACTTCCCAAACCCCACAGCTCTTGGGCCTCCAGGGATTCGGGTCCGGAGAGGACGGTGCCTTCTGCGACGCCCGGTGTGGCGGCCAGAGAAGCGGCCAGGGCCTGAGCTGAAATTGTCTCTACAGCTTACGGGCTTAGGAAGCTTCGATAAGTCACCAATGAGGGCTTGCTAGGCTTTCTGACTTTAGGGTTTGAAGGGTTTGGAGTAGGCTTAGTTTTTTGACAGGCTCCTTACCACCATTCTTGTCGTTTGTGGCACCGAGCAGTGTCTCTCCTGTTCTTCTTGATTGCTCTTAAACTTTCTGCCATCACTAATGAAGCCTCAAGATGATAGAAGATGGGGAAGCAGAAGCGGCACTCTTTTGGCCTGCAGGTTCCTGGCCTCGATATCCACAAACTGACCACCGCGCTTTGCCAATGTGCCAAGGCGTCCGCAGAAGACCAAGCGCCCAGCCTTGAAGTGAGAAGAAACCAAGGGCTTTTCTGAAGGTGTAGACCGGGGCACGGAGCGGAACAGGCTTCAGATAAGATTTTTTATCTTAACATGCAATTGGACAGCTGTTTGTGGTATTACTCTTCGAACTGCACAGAAAGGGTGGTCACGAGACCTTTGAATCTTTGCCGTCTGCTGCTAGTTTATCTACTTAGAGTCCTATCTATGTCATGGGCATAGGTCGCTCTCTGCGAACTGCAGGAAACCCAGCATGACTCGGACAGCTGGTCAAGGCAAGCATCTCCAAATACAACACGCCGGCCCTGAGAAACCCTGCCGACCCAGAACGTAAGGGGACTGAGAGACCTTGGTACAGAACTTCTCCTCAGGGAGAAACAAGAAGGCTGATGCAAAACTGGCGAAGCCAGACATACCACATTGAGTGGACTGACTGGTAATGATGTCCAATACACGGCCCCCCCAGCGAAGCCAGCTCAAGGGCCACCGAACTGCAAACCGTGGCGCTCCCACCGACCGGAGGCGATCATGTGTCCGCAGGTACCGAGTGCCCTTGAACCAGCAGATACCTGAACACGTAGATTGTTCGGCAGGACAGGATCTGATCTGTGGATGCTCAATGCTGCCTACGTGGTAGTGTTTAGTGTTGAGAGCTTCAAGCAATTGGTGATTGTGAGGTCCGTTCGCTTTCTGAAACCATGCCGTGCTTTGCAATAGAACACGGATTGATCAGCTCGTGTACCTCAACAGCCGCTCAAGGAGGGTGTGAGATCATCCGATTTTTCGCACCCACCCGCCAGTAACAGAAACCTGGATTACTGTGACAATAGAAGTACGCCACGTCCAGAAACGTCCGAAATTAGGGGTAGCAGCAGTTTTTCGGTCGAGTTCTGCAATTTGTCGTCCCGTTTCCGACCTAGACAGAGAGCATTTTGTCGACCTTCGAGCTCGTCGGTTTGTTGTCTATGATAGCCCTCGAAAGCAACTCCACCATTCACTTGAAATCCATACCTGACACCTCAAGAGCTGAAGCCCTGCACAAGCAGCTCTATGCAAAGCCAAGCAGCTTTCAGCATCGCTGACTGCGGCCACCCTGAAGGCATGTTGCGGCTATTCGGCTCTAAGTTTTGGGAACTAGGGGTTTCGTTGAAACCACACTCCTCCCAGCCTCTCTCAAATAAATCGGAAGAGCCACCCACCCGAATAACCAACAACCAGCACGTCCTAGTTCGAGCTGCAAACCAGAGCGACTTCACCAAGGCTCTAGCTAGTTGAAGAATTGCCCCTCACGAGTGGGGAGTTGATCTTCAGGCCTAGGGAAGCAACCGTGGCGCAAAGCAAAAGGGATCCTCTGAGACGGGCTACGCCCTGAAGAACCACCAGAACGTCATAGCACAGTGTTGCATTCTGCCTCCCGGCTTCGCCAACGTAGCCAGGCGACACCGTGGCACCTCCAAAAATCAGCAGAAGCCTTCTAAGGGTACACGGGTTTCGACAGCTGCAGAAAAACAGCCATGTATCCTCTTCCAGTACCGAGTTCAGAAACATCATATGAACAAGTTCGCATCCCAATCGTGCACAAGATGCCAATGATCATTTAACCCGCTGCACTGTGAAACTGCACAAAGCTCAACCTCAAGACCAGCCCTCCACACAGGTGTTTCTGTCATCATATAAGGGTTTGGAACTCCTCCATTGCACAAAAAAGTATGGGGTGCATTGCATTGAGCCTTACAACCCACCTACGCAAAACCCATGCGATGCCGACCCTACCTTCACAAAACCCTTTGAAAGAACTCCATCATAATTTTGCCGCTCAGTGATGGCCTGCCAGCAAGAGCTCGCCCTCCGCGCCCGGAGCCTCAGGCGGCAGCAGCGTGCCATCTGAAGTCCTGGCTGCAGCATAGTGTCCGGAGTCCAGAGGTTACATTGCTTCGAGTTTGAAGGGTTGGGGGGTTGGCGCACGGAGTTGGATATTGCATTGGGGTTTGGGGGTCTGCGACTCCGCCAACAGGAGCTCAGTGGCCTCAGGTTCCGATAGGATCGTCAGCAGTCTCAAGGACGCCCTTGCTCTTCGACTCTCAGGCCAGGCTGGTTCTTTCAGTGCATGAAGGGTAAAGTTGACGGGTATCACAACAACCTCAAGCCTCCGTCATATGCAAGATGTTGGGCCCGAGACTCCAAAAGCCGGGCTCCCTAGTCCTAGACCGCATTCATGAGTGCCACACACTGACTTTGCCCTGCGTGCAGAATAGCATCTGGAGCAACATGGGCAGCGATGGCAAAGGCTGAAAGACGTGTTTCTCCTCACAGGGAAGACTTTGAGATAAGATGATCCAAGGAACTAGGGTTTCGAGATCTCGATTCCCCAACTCCTGGGATCCTTTGCATGTTGTCGGTCTTAGTTTGTCCAAGCAGAAAATTCGCGACTGGCAGCCCCAACCGCCGAACCCAGAAATCCCAATGGGCAACTCTGCACCAGAGAGAGAAGCCTGATCGGCGAAGCTATGGTCTGGACACTATTTTTCAAAGTCTACCTATCGATGCACATACAACTAACGGAAGAAACACGTCAATAATGCCTGCTCCAACGCAGGCATTATACCGTGCTGTGGTGTACAGCCGCTGCCCGATTTGTCTTTCAACTGGCAAATCAGATCCCTACGTGTGCATTCATGCAAAGGAGATCACAGGTTGTATCTCTGCACGTTGTGTCTGTCCTTTTATGTACTCGCTTCTTGATACGACAAAGCTGGGTGTGAAATCGTATGCGGAGTACCCGAACCATAAGTCCTCATCAGTGATGAGTGTACAGTTGTGAAGATGATTCACCGAGACCATGACGAGGAACACGGAGATGGCAATAACAACGATCATGAAGATGTCGTTGTAGCTGCTACCCGCTGTTGCTGTTCCTAACCCTAGGCAGGACACTGCGAGCCCAGAGACTCTCCTGGCCGTCAACAGGATCTACGCACGTGCTGCAATCGCTGGAAAGAGCGAGCCAGTACTCGCCTGGACTGGCAAATGGCTGGGGCTTCGACCGTTAACTCCCAAAGGCCCAGATTCCTCCATCCCTGTTCCTCACTTGTAGATTGTAGTGATATCCGCTATACAGCGGACAGCGCTATGAGAATGATTTTGGTGCGGGGTTTGTGCCAAGAGCAAAACAGAACATCGCCGGGTCTCAGGGCCCAGTGTACACTCAAATGAAGTGACCGCCCCCCAAAAGGCAAAGACCCAGAAAGCTCGCAACTCTGAACAGTGTGCCAGAGTCAAAACATCACAAGAAACAAACCCGTCAATCCTCTTTCCATAGCCATTCACCTTGTGCGGGGCGTTTGCTTCTGCTCAATGCAGGCAGGTCACTGGCAATCAGAAGATCCACTACGTAGCATGCCTTGCCGGAAGGCCCGGCTGTGGGGCGGCTAGCTGTGCTTTCTCTCTCAGGCGCATGATTCTCCGGCTAATGCTCGGTGTACATGTTAATCTTCAAGCCTTTCGGACATGATGGAATTGTTGGAACTACGGTACGTCGTGGATCCATGCACCACAACTCTCAGTGGCTGGAGAAGGGTGGACTATGGTGGACTTGTTACCTTGAAGCCGGCTGGCCTAATACTGGAGGATGCCATGGCCTAGGATAACCACAACTGGAGACTTAAGTCAGCCGGCCAGGAACTTCTCGAATTGAGCCATTTCTACAGCTCAACTTGTGTGAAGCACTGGAGGCAGAAGGCGCCCCTCACAGAATGAGTCTGTTGACACAACAGAAGCTGAAAGCGTCCTACATGCTCAGATCCCCCGACCGTGATCATAAGCAGCAAATCCCGAAAGCCTGAATCCTCAAGCCATATTCCAAGCCCTTGTCATCAGTCATCCTCAGCCCTAGGAGGACTTAAGCGGAAAGCCTTACGATTCTTGGGAGCACTCTGTTGAATATGCCGGTTGCCTTGCAAGGTTGGAGCTTCGCTTGTTTCTCCCGCATTGCAAAGTCTGGGACTGGGAGCCACATGGCAGTGTTCAAATGCAAGGCAGTCAGGAGACGAGCACCCAGGTATCAGGACGCCCCCAGGGCTCAACAACAGTTGTGGGACCTCGACGAACTACGCCACGACTGAACTACGAAGTGCTGAACACATCATCTCACGAATCAAGCATGCACCAGGCTGGAGGCCGGCATTCCAAGACACTTGAAGACGAGGCTGAAAATCATGGTTGAGTGTGGAATGAGAACGCGAAACCCCAACCAAAGCTCACGCATGTCCTAGTGCAAATGCTCCAAAAACACATCGTAGAGCTGCATGGTGCCTTCGTCCAGACCCTGCTGACCTTGACCGGAAGGGCCTGCGAACGTCAGGAGGGTCACAGGGCGAACGGGCTGCAGGGCTTGAAATCGTGCAGTTTCGGGATCAAGATGTGCAGTCTCAGTACTGCCTCCGATTTGGCGCTGCCACTGTGAGACTCTGAAGACCCGAATTTGAGTTATGGGCTTCAAGCTGTGGGGTTAAGGTTTCTTAGACATTTTCGGCGCAAACTTCAGATCGAAGCATCCATACAGCATTCCTCTGTTGGGAGAGACAAGATATGGGAGCTTTTGGGTTGACACCATTTTACAAAGCTGACGACCCTAAGCCGAAGCCATAAACAGCAAATTTGAGCTCCAAGCCTGAGGCTTTAGCCTCTGCTCTCCTCCATAATTAGGGTGTCCGTTTTTGCAACCGCTTCCATTAGACGGCGGGCCGAGCCTGAGGCCCTTGGCCTCCTGGGGCTAACCGGGTCCTTCTCTCAAGAGCCTGACCGTTGACATACTCTAACACAACATTCACGTACGAGCCTGAATAAGAAGCAGCAGTCAGACAAAGAATCCTTGAACACTCCGGATGGGATGTCATGTGCCCGGTATTCAGCTCGTGGTGTCGGCTTCTGCACAGGGTGACAAGGCCACTTCCGGCTGCCTCACATCCCGGCCCCCCATCCTGGAAGCAAAACGGAGTGGCTTTGCTTCCGCTCGCGCTAAGTAGCGGGAATCGCAAAGACCCCGTCTCAGCCCAGACTCTCAACCTCCCGAAACCTGCCCGTCGGCCACAACAAAATAGCCACACCCCTTTTTGGCAAAAGGGGATACAGTTATAGTTATCGTCAGGGTCAGGGTGCGAGGTCCAGGTTTCTTGGCGCTCTGCAAGTGTAATGCGTGCCTCCCCCCAGGTGAGAATCACCCGCAAGCTGGATGGCGCCGAAGCGGGACCTGTCAGAGGGAAGCTTTGTTCTACTATCTTACTATCTGACACAATAGAGATGTAGTATGTTGGGAACCGATGCTTGAAAATGCCCCGCTTCTGTCTATGCGGAATCTATAGGCGAAGCTGCTTGCGCCACTAGGACACGGCGCCTAGAGGATGCCAGAACCTGCTGCGTGGAAACCATCCGACCGGTTTGCACCGCTGCCGCGAGTACCACTATCACCGTAGCCACAAACTGCGTCATTTCTTGGTGTTTGTTTCCGTGCCATGTCAAAGTACAAGACTTGGGGTAAAGTGCTTCTGTTTTTCCGAGCAACACATTCCTGAACGGTGTTTGGACAAATTGGGATAGCCAACGATTGACTATCAATTTGAGGACCAGCTTCAGCTGGTCTAGAATCCTAGAACCAAGCAGTCAGACTTGGAGAGTTGCCGGTTTTGTCGCAGGTATGTGCTGCTGCTAGCGCAAGGTGCCTCGGACCCTACTAGTATATAAAATGCTCAAGAGCCGAGATCCCACATTTCCAGCGCCTCCTGGATATGTGGCCCGCAGTAAGGATGGGACCTTTGCTTGCTTTGGGGCTTCAGGGGATCCGCGATAGTCTAGGCATGTTTGCGTGAAGCCGGAACAAGACGACAAGCCTCGTCGATTTGCAGCAGGCCACGTAAAGCACACCTAGGGGCCTTGGTCTAGGACAAGGCAGCTAGCTTCACAAGCGGCTCTGTTCGCGTCCCCTAAAATTCGATGTCCAAAGTTCATCCGAGGCACAGTGCCCAGAACCGAGATTCGGTATCTTTCGACTGCTGCCGCCAGTCCTCGCTTGAGGCTCTGTGGCTCCGGAAGTTCCGAGCCCTGCTCTGACTCACCTCAGGCCGAACCAAACAACCTCCAACAAACCTTCCAGCGGAAAATGACAGGATCTGAAATCCAACCGGCTGATCCAAAAGGCTCGGGGTAGCTAAGCATTCAGGAAACATCATCTACATGTTGGTGTGGGTAGGCGTTGGGAAGAAGCCGGATCTGAGACTCCAACTTAAGCATAAACCACAGTTGTGTACATGGTCCGAATCTAGAACGGTCCGCAAGGCAGCACTCCCGAAGTTCCGAGTATCCTTTCGCACCGGGTTCGGTCGGGACGAAAACGACGCAAGCTCCAAAGGCCAAAGCAATGTCAATCCTGAGTCTGGCCACGGTCTTGCTGATGCGCTAGTTTCTGCTCTCGCTGCAGAGGCAGGCCAGCACCAGCACGAGCACCGACGACGACAACAGCCAGAACCACAACTCTTCTACCACTACCACTGTAGCACTGGCTGCTCGTATTACTAATCAGTCCTATTACGTAGTACTGCTGCTGCTGCTGCTGCTGCCCGTGCCCCTGCTCCTACCCCTGCCCCTTACCCCTGCCCCCTGCCCTGCCCGTCCTCCCCTGCCCCTGCCCCTGCACTGCCACTGCTGCTGCTACTCCTACGACGACGACCACTACTATTGCTATTCCTGCATGGAATGTCTAACTAGCACGCACGGAAAACCTGTTTCGTGTTGACTCCGGCTAAATGGTTCCTGATTCCGGTTTGCTAGCTGCTCGCTAGGGAAGGAGGGGTTGCCTGCCTAGCTAGTTAACCTGAAACATCTCAACCCTACATACTTCATCGCTTGCAGCTTCGTCTCTGACCAAAGGCAGCCGCGCCCCAGTAGGCCGACGTAAACTGCAGCACCTCGGAGGCCGGAGGTTTGCTTCGGGTCGAATGTTGTCGCGAATCTTAAGGGATCCAATCTGTGCTTCCTTCTGCGAATGCCGAACACCCCCAAACTCCAAACCCTGACAACCTACTAAGAGCACCTATATGGTAGCTGCCACGCTCGAATATAGAGGAAGTGCTGGAGGTCACGGCTTTGAGCGGCTGGGTGTTGCATGGAGTTTCCAAGCTGAACGACGCTTTTGGGGCTTTGGCATCTGGATCTCCCACAATGGGACCAAGGCTAGAAGACTGTCTTGCGGCTCCCGGCACTGTCACAGGCACAAAAACTTAGATGCACCGGCTGCGCAGGCTCTAAAGCGCTGAACGGTCCTCTAGACTCTAAGCTATCCTAAAGACCTGCGAACATCCATGCCAACTTTGGGAAAATGCTGGAAAGCTAAGCCCCACAACTTGGCCCCCAGCCTTGTCACCCGACGTACTCCACGACGTTTACCCGTCTACCCCAAGTAAACAGAGTGGAATGAACTACCCATAACGTCAACTAAGACTAATCTTGCATTCTGCGAGAGCGCAGAAACTCCTAAGGGCTTGTCGCCTTGGGGTTAGAGGGCGCTGAGATTGGTTTTTGAGTGGCTTCTTGCAGGCCTTACATCTTCATTCGCATTTGGGTTTTGGGATGCTCAGCCCGAGCAGCACGATCCGCGCTGGACATGCGTCCTTGCATCACCTGAGCTGTTGGTCTCCTTATTGACAGTAGCAGTGAGGTAAGAGACATCTATGCAATTGCGGTGAACAGCAGAGAAACATCAAAATCGGCATTGCCAAAACCGCCGGAATCAGTCTTAGTAACATTAGGGCGATAAAGAACAAACCTGACATAACCGGACAAGCGATGATCATGATCTCACCATCGCCATCAAAGCTCCCAGTGCTCAGGACTGCTGGGTTCAGGTAATAAACAAAGGCCGAAAGAGTTTTCAGGAAGGCTTGGTGCAAGTACGATGTTGTGTTATACGCGAACTGCGAACACAGACAAGTGACTGGAGGCCCCGGTTTCAACCTTCCCTGACACGACAGCCCTTACGGCTGAAATCCTCAACGCACCCAAGTTTTCGGGTAGTCAGGGCCGCCGTTCTACCATGGTAAGTACCAGTTAGGGGGCGAGCTGCACGCTGCTAAACATCAAGAGAACGAGATTGAATGATTTCTCGCCTAATTTGCAGGATTTGTGGCAAATGGAACTCCGCCACATCAAAACAAAGCTTCAAGCGCTACACCTCCTGAAGCATATCGCGGCTTCAAGGCTTTGAGGAGAGGTACGGCTTCGGCAAAAGATGAAATTAGGCCAGAATAAACAAACATGAAACAGGGAATCAATGCACAATCAAGGTGCGGTGTGATAGTTCGAAATCTCCCAGAGCGCCATCGCATTCCTAGGACTGACTTGAAGGTTTGGGTTCCACATGGTTCGACCGGGTGTGCCCCATGTGGCAAACTCCTACTGGAAGAAATAGCTTCTGGGGCAACCTTGAACAATTGCCAGACGACTGTCTGGAACGAGCCCAAACTCTTTCAGACCCCGATAAAGCCACTTTGCAGGTACAGGGTCTCAAGTCCTTGGTATGTTTTCTGATTGTGCTCTACGCTGGTGCGCATATGTTTTGACGGTATATATATATATATACACGTACACATATGGGTTGACGTAATTGTAGTTCATCACAACAAGTTCAGTAAAGCTACTGGTTATTCAAGCAGGAGCGCTTCTGGAGTTCACAATGGTTCACAGTGCATTTTGCAGATGCGCTTGGTAATGTTTGGTACTTAGACTTACAGAAAGCTCCAAAGCGTCACTTAAAGCTTTGAGATTAGGACTAGGATTCATTCACAGGCTTACGCAGAGCGAGCGACCAAAGTCACTGGGCAGGACCCGGCGACTTTGCTGCGCCCCATCTAGGCTTTCTAGTGCCTTGCCATCCCGACCCACAAACGAACAGAAAGCTCCGGGGCCCCACCACGGACAACCGACATGATCTCAGAATGAAGAGCCAGTAGCCAAAACAAAATGCGCTGCAACATGCTCCAAGCTGCAGCACTACAACGCATTTGCTGAACTTCGTCGTTCCACCAGTGTATGTGTAGAGCCTCGGCTTCGGCTCCCGCAACTAAAAGGCCAGGATCCGCAAGGAGTTCGAGTAACACAGAGCCTCAGTTCAGGCCTCCACGAAACAACGGCTCCGCATCGAGAACCACACCTTAACGCCGTAGAATCCTAATCCCGAAGTTTCATGATAACAGAAGGTTGGGGCCGTGCCCCGCGACCGAGTTGCAGCACCGATTCAGGGCTGACGCTTGCCTCAAACGGCTCCTTCACGATGAGCTGAACTTGAGCCAAGGGCTTGGGGTTTAGGATATTGCTTTTCGAGCTTGAATGGAATTTCGCCGTGGCAGAACTCCTTTCCGGATTCGACTGCAGGCGACAGCAAGCTGTAGAGTCAGAGAGCATCCAAGTCGACAGAGACGGAACCAGAGTTGTCTATTCAGAAATAACGACGGCCAGGGCCATGCATAGAGAGTACTGTGGCTTGCTCGCGGTTTCTGGCTGGCAGTATGTCCTGTTGCGATGTGTACCGCACTTTCGCCTTCGCTCTCCCATGGACACAAGTTGGTTGGCGTACCCGCCTGATGAACATAAGTCGTTAGGTCATTTAATTACCATAAGCAGGAGTAATAGAACCTTTCAAGGTTTGCTTCCGTGAGGCAGGGAACAACATGGAACACGCCAACGCAACGACTGTCGGCTCCTGTACAGCCGGCGAGGAAGTAGCAGCCAGGCGAATCCTTAGAGCGCTTACTACCAGATTCGTGTCTTGGTCGTGTCATGCTAGCTGTGGCAGTTGCATGCTGTTGGACGTCTCACTGAGGTCCGAGGGGAACTGGGGAAGGCGGGGAACAGGGGTTTGCAAGTTCGGCTTTAGTGGTTTCAGGCTTTCAGCTCTCACAACCGCGTGAAAGAAAGTTCAGGTGTTGCGATGAATGTACTTCTGAAAGCTTTCGACTCTGACTTTTCGATTTATGTTTTATGAAACTTCAGTATCTTGAAAGGCTTCCGGGGCAGGCTGGGCTGTATATCCTACAAGCCGTAGCTCTTCGTGCAAAAGGAAGGTGGCTACAGATGGCAGTGCATGCAATCCGGCAGATGCAGGCTGCCTCCAGCCGCCGAGCTGCTTGCGCAGTGGCGGAGTACATGTGCTTTTCAGGTGTAAAGCCGCGCTGTGGACGTTGAGACCATGTCAACGCTGCAGAGCTCTCAGCTGTCGCTGTGGCTGCTTCAGCTGCTCATTAGCCCTGTGCAGCTGTTGACCGGCCATGTGGAGGTCGTCTTGTTTCCTCGCGTGGATGTTCCCAAAGAGTGGCGCGTGCTGACTCAACATGCAAATGTCGCTGCTGGGCATGCAGCTGTGACCCCCGCTGCCTTCACAAAACAGATTGGTGTACAGAAAATCAAGCTCGGCAGGCCATCAAGATCTTGTCTACAAGCGTGCTGCTTTTCTTGTTCGCATGCTTTCCTTCTCAGAGAAGCTTGTGGGCTTGATCCTAAGGTGATGATGGGGTGAAGGCGGCGTCATCTTGCCGTCCACCATCTTACAGGCAGGCCTACGATACGTTTATGTGCTCGGACTGAGGGTGCGCCTGATGTGCCTGCTGGAGCAATGTGCGTATGGACTACGCCTGTCTGCAGAAATTTCTTGGCGAAGAAGGTGTTTGGATGCAATGTGCTAAAATGCTGACACGTGCGGGAAAACACACATCTCGGTAAGAACCGTGCGTCGCTTTCATGGGCTTTCATTATTTCATTGGTTTCCAATATCTTGAAACACATGCTTTGGAAAAAGCTGTATTGATGTAGGTTTTGCCAGCACCGTCAGACGAAGCAACTGCAGCACCACAAACAGGCAAGAGGACGAGAAAGATCATCAGGGTTCTCATGAGTATGGCGGCAGCATACTCATCAGCTTGAAGGCATACTTGGACACGAAGCGGAAAGATGCCACGGCAAAGTCTGCCGAGCTCTTCGAGCAACGGCTGCTGCGCCTGCTTCCTCCAAAGACAGGAGTAACCGTGGCCCAAAAGATCAGCACGTCCATGTTGAATGCTCCTAGAATAAACTTCCTTCGGGATGAGGCGCTTCACATCCCAAACACGTTCGCTACGTTCGTTTGCTGCAAAGGAGTCAGTCAAAAGCAGCGTTACATGTGCTGAACTTCGACTCAATAGCGGCCCTCAGCCCCAATCCCAAATCGGTGCTTTGAGCTTTCATCCCAGGCACTGTTCCGTGGTCAGCAGAATGCAGTCCAAGGGCAGCTCGGGGAAGCCGGCACCCTGGTCAAGGGCCCCATTGTTTGCTCTCGCCTAACTAGGACAATGCCCGAATTGCAAGGTTTGTAAGAAGGAACAATGGAAACGTGCTTCTGTTGCTTCCCATCGGAAGTGCTCGAAAGTTTGAGCGGCGCCCATCCCCAGCTGTACGGATTAAGCACCTCATCAAGCCAACCACCCATTAAAGCTCAGGGCTTATGCGCTTGCACTCGCTCTGCCAGACGAGATTCCGGGTGGTAAGACAGCGGTTTCGTTCGGTAGTTGCCCCATACTGGCTATACATGTTCACGCCAACTCAGGCAATTGGTCTCGTGCAACATCGAGCAGCATTTGCAATCGGTGCAGTTTCGATGTCAACTCAGGGTTTACACTTCATCTGCAGCATCCCCCAAAAACTCAGGCCCCCAGGTATGTCATGTTATGCTGATCGCACTCGGTTAGCTACATGCTTGCTCACCTCCTGGACATTGACGTCCCCTTCCTAGCCGTCGCCGTGCCACACCAGGTGACTGTGCGCCAGACTGTGCAAGTGCCACAAGTGCAGATGATAAGCTGAACCAGGCCATACAGATTCCGGCCACCGAAGTGCAAGACGAAGCGGGTAAAATCGGGGCTAAGAACCTGCTAGTCTGGATTGCTGCCAAATTCTGCACTTGCTAGCTCTGGATATCGAACTTGGTGCTCCTGGCCGCAGTGATGGCAAGGCCCTGAGCAATGCCGTTAGCGACGCTGAGGGAGGCATAGACCAAGGTTTCCAACAACAAGTTCCGAGCCCCAAAGGCCTAGGGAGATGAATGAAGAGCTTATTGCCGCCTAACCCACTTCCTGGCCACCACAACTCCGCTGACCATAGCTGCGACGATGCTGGAACCCTACCGCCACTCGTCTGGCTCTACCTGTTCCTGATTTGTGGACACGTCACGCCTCCAGCTCCGGCAGACAGCCAAGCTGAGAGCATCGAAAAGGACCGGGCCAAAAATTACGCCAGTCTGGCAGCAACAATGATGATGCTCCAGAGTGTCTTCGGTGTTACCAGCGTCCACATGGTGTTCGGAAGGCCAGAGTCACGTCGCCCCTGGTATCGGATGTGTCTGTTCAGTCCGAAACGCTGATCCTGCGGAGGATTGTTCCAAGCACTGCCATCCACTCAAGAACAGCCCGCTTCCAGTGGCACTCTGCCCCATGGCCACAGCATAGTCCAAACACACAGAGACAAGCATCGAAGGGACATCATCATGCTGAGACACGAGAAGAGCAGCGACACATGCCTCGCGGCAGAGCGAAAAAACCGCCATCGTCGCGATCACGCACGGGCGGAAGGGAACGATGAGATCGGAGAAGCCTCTGGCCTCAAGTTCATCCGTCAGCCGCCCCATTCGTGTCGACCTTGCTGGAAACCCCAGAGGCCTGCGCATCTGCGGGTCCAGAGCTCAGCGTGTAAAATTCTCGGTACTGGAAGCACCGGAATCAGCGGCTGCATTTGCAGCAGAGAGGATCGCACACAATGTAGGGAGCAGGTGCTCAAAGAGGGAACATTAATCACGAAGACTTTAGCCGTGGCCATGTAGGATGTAGGCGCACGTGCATAGCCGCCATAGCCCTAGAGTCTAAGCCCGCACCTCCACCACGGCGGCTTGCGGTCGCCTTGGCAAGGTCAGGTGTTGTGGATCCATAAGGCTTTCATCCCGCCCACCCAGCTGACTTTGTCGCACTGCAGGGAACCCGTCCTTTGGGGCTCAAGGTTTGCAGTTCAATGGCATGACGTGATCTGAAACGGTCCGTCCATCGCCCTTGGGTTCCCTTCAGCTTGGGTTCTTCTGAGCCTTTCAGGTCTAGCTTCTGCAGGCTTCAACGTCAAAGGGGGAAGGCCCTGCTTTGTGAGGGCTTCAGAGCTTTAGGAAATATTCTGTGGTACACTGAGTCGGGCAGCTTGATCTTGGGGCTCAAGGTTTAGCATGGTTTTGTGGAGCAATGATCTGTGCCAACACGTTTGCGCTTAAAACACCTTCGGACCTTTAAACTGTACAAACTTGACCCGTGCTTGCCTGGTACAACCAATACAACCATGCAAATGTGCGGTGCGCAACCAATGCAGGCCTTTCCTTCGGCCTGTGCCTTTTACCCAAGCTTGTGCTCCGCCCGCTTCAACCTCCCTAAGACCGATAAAAGCGATCCCACTTCGTCTGGGTCGGGGACAGCTCTGCAGCGATGCGGTGTCTGCGTGAAGCTTCGGCGGCCTTCTCGTAATTCCAAGGACTACAATAAACAACGGCTCAGGCTTCATCGAGTTGGGGTTCCGGTTCGTTCGGCACTTTCGGAAGCTGGCTAAACACCTTGCGATATCCGTGCTGAGAATACGCACAGTTTTTGCAAAGCAGGTTCGGGCCTTCTTATGAGACATGCCAAGCTGCTGACTAGAGTTCTCTGACCTAGGTTCTTGCTGAAGGGCTTCGGGCCTGTGGACTCCATTCCATGTGTGCCCTATACTGGTAGAAGCCGGCCCCACACAGCCTAAACCAAGATCTACAGCCTTTCACCCGAAACATGGGTGCCGCCAATCTGCTTTCCACCGAATCAACCTCACCCCTTTATGAACTTCTTCACGTACACAGACTCAGGGTTTTTGTGCGTTCTGGGACGGCGAATCTTCTCTCCCACCGCCAGCTGACGTTTTCCCAGACAAGCGGCTCAATGCTGCAGTCGAAACACCCTCTTGGCTACGCCGTGCGCCAACCGGTTACCCCAGACCGCAAGAATTGATCAACTGGGTGCGACCCCATGCAAGCCAAACCACATCCGGGTTCGGTGTTGAGCATGGTTCCTCCGAGACCGGACTCGTTGTAACCAGTCTCTGGACAGGCAGCCTCGGTTCCTGACAGGCCCGCTGCTGAAACCAAATGATGGCTGTGCACAAACCCCAAAATACCCTGGCTCATCAATCTGCAACTTGTCTTTGCAGTGCGCAGACAAGTCTTGCATAAACTGCACCCTTCCTCGGCCCGTGAGGCGAGAGGAGTTTGTAATGCTAAACTCGCCGAAGCTCATCTTTCTGAAGGACTACAGCTCGCGCAAACCCCTCTGGCTGCATCACGTCGTTAACCGTTTCCTTGCGAAATCACACACCGTCGTCTGGTGTTCAAGCCGAGGACGGATAAATCCATGTTCGTTGTGAGTCATGCTGTGCTATTGGTTTAGGGTCTGTGTCTAGGGTTGACAGAACGAAGCTCTGCTGCCTTGTCGGGCATATCATCGCTAGCAGCTGCTACAGGGACTCCCAGCTTCCAGGCAGCGTAGCACACGGCATAAAACCTGAGCGTGCGCACTCCACTACATTGATCGGAGCATGGCTTTCTGCTCAATATTAACTTCGGATATTCTGAGCTTCGGTTGGAGATAACGCTTGCAATTTCCCGGATGCCACGAGGACCTTGGGGAAGCGTTGGGCTTCAGGGTCTCACTACGGCTTCAATACGGTGATTACGGCGTTGAAGGCTGAAGGTGTGGGAGTCCGAAACTCTAGACCTTAAGAACGAAACCCTGAGCTAGTCTATGTCCTAAACTTCCAATTCAAGTTTTGGCACAGCCGGTCGCGTTGGAGCGCAAGCCTCAGCAATGAGGTCAGGGCTTTCTGACTGCACTTGTGCTCTTGAAATCAAACTGTCTGGAAAAACGCGAGATAGCAGGGATGAAGCACAGGCACGGGCTCCCAATCTTGTGTAGAACTTATTGAGTGTACACTTTTTCAGTTGGTAAACTGAATCCACCGGTTTCGGCGATCACACTCGGACAAGCAGGCGAAGGGTGTAGAGTTCCACCAGGGCTTCACCCAAGGAACGCTAAAGGCCGCGGCGCAGGTGGCTGTGTCTGCCACTTCGGGGCCTCAAGCCGAGGGTTAAGAACTGAGGTCTGTCATATATAGGGGTTCCAAGCCTGTTCGAATCCGCACATCAGACCAGAAACTAACTTCGATGCGGAATGACGAATCTCAGTAGCAATGATAGTCGTAGTCGTGGTAGTCGTGGTAGTCGTGGTAGTCGTGGTAGTCGTCGTCGTCGTCGTACTCGTCGTCGTAGTCGTAGTCGTAGTCGTAGTCGTAGTCGTAGTCGTAGTCGTAGTAGTAGTAGTAGTAGTAGTAGTAGTAGTAGTAGTAGTAGTAGTAGTAGTAGTAGTAGTAGTAGTAGTCCCTCACCCAAACCCAACACATAGTCGACCTTAACCAACTTTAAAACCAATCCCTCAGCCCCGCACTGGAAGGCAACTACTGCATCTTGAGAAGCTGCCGTTTTGGAGATGTTCCGAAACAACACAAAAATCGTGAGAAGGTCATCTTCCTTCGATAGGACATGGTGCCACATGCAACCTGATAGCAACACGACACACAAGAAGTTAAACTCCCAGTCCTATCCAACAAACTGGACCAGGCTATCGTTGTCCGGCGGCCTCGTGGCCCGCAACACCTTCAGCGCTTCAGCAGCATGAAGTTTTGCTAGACACAGCGCGAAGTTTTTTAATAGCCAGTGACAGATGACAACAACGATGATGGACATGTTGATATGATACTCATGATGGCGATGGAAGCCGTCATAATAATGACAATGGAAATACAGGTGACACTGGTACAAACTACGACGACGACGACGACGAGGACGACGACTACTACGACGACGACCTCCAGCGACTCGTATTACAGTACAGCTTCTACGGGAGCTGCGGTTGCACTATCGCCACTACGAAGTACTACGATGATGATGGTGAAGCCGACGAAGACGCTAACGCCTACGGCGACAACTATTACTGCAGCTGCTGCTGCTGCTGCTGTAGTTGCATGCATACAGATATGGCACGGGAACCTACTCTGTGAAACACTGCAGCACGATGAGCTTCTCAGGCTTACAAACCGCCCGTGGCCTGGAAACTCAACTCGATGCGCACTAGGTCGGCTCTCTCACCCCGGAATCCTTCAGTCGCACGCCAAATTCCATGCATTTATCCGGGAAAAAGCACGGAGTGAACCTCCATGAACTAAAGGTTTCGGCTCACTGCTCGAGTTAAGTTCCACTCTCACAACTAGCTCAGGGTTCAGGGGCTTGGGGGCTATTGGCTCTTAGGGTCTTTCGGGTTCCAGATTAGTCTGGCTTTTCGGGACCTCCTCAACTGCAACAGAGATCCAATCTCGCAGACCAAATTCGCAAGAACCTGCCCGCAATTCTGAAATCCACAAGCCCCAAAGCAAGAGGCATTCTCCCCGACCTTGTCGGCGCAAGAGAGCTGCAATGTTGTCTGCAGCTACACGGAGCTCCTGGGATGCATAAGGCTTCACCAAAGTTTCTATCTACAGGCCAGCAATTTCCCAGCCCAAAGCCCATTAGCCCTCAAGCCCAGAAAACTGCCAACATTCCGCGAACACCGAACACCGGCACACCCTCAACACCCCGGCTCCGCATAGCTCCAGCTGCCCGTCGCGTCCACTGCCGCCTCATCGCTGACTCCATACTACTGTATCTTCGAAGAATCAGAACCAGGATCTACCGACATCGCATTTTTTACTGTTGCGGCCCAAACAATAGCTATGCAATGCTATGTGACTGCCATGGCAGCACATACCATGTCCATCGCTAAGATTATGGCAATTGCGACTTGAACTGTTCCAATAAGCATAACTGTCGTTGCTCTGACGATGGGTTTTCGTGATCTTCACCACAGCCAGTATGTTTCTCACACTCGCGGTGGCAATGATTGTACTTTCCCTACTTGTGATCAGTTTCTATGGGTCTCCTTCTGTTGTCACTATTGCGTCGAGCTCCTCCAGTAGTCGGTTTAGTTTACGCCATCTGCGAGATTGCCATCCCAGGATTGAGCGGCGTTGAAGACTCCGCTTAAAGGACTGTTGGGCGCCTGTGTACTCTGTCCGACAGTCTCTAACCTAAACCGGTTCAGGGTAGCAACTGTTTGCTTCCTCCTAACAGCCAAACTTGAGTCAGCAAGTGATCACACAGACCAAAGTAAACAATGCCACACTTGTCGTTCCAAGCTCGATTTGATCATCATTGTCAGATTTGTGCCGCTGTGGTCTCAAATCGAAGTTTCAGCATGCCCCTTTTTAGTATCTCCAGTTCATCGAACCCCTGCATTTCTTGCCTCCTACGCCTATGCTCCTCACGACTCTGCCGCCCAGCAGGCTGCAAGCGTGGGGGCACCTTTAACCCACAACTGGCCCTAAACCATCCCAAAGATGGAATGCAAAACTGACAAAAGCTGTTTTGGTATCTTTCTGCAGCAACGTGGCCGGTGCGTCTGGCTTTGTCTCTGCCAGGTGGTCGATGTACGCTGGGACGGCTTGGGTGTCTAGGGCTTTAGAGGTTTACTGGCTTGGGCAGTAGTGCTTTGGGACTTTGGACTCTCGCAACTCGGACACTGCAGGCGAGGATTGGGGCTTTAGGGTTTTAGAGTTTATGGCTCAAGGCGGTTTCGTCAGGCCCACTCGCACAAGGCGGCAAGGTTCAAGACGGTTTAGGCTTTCGGCGCTCACACGGTTTAGGCTTTAGGGTTTCGATGTTTCGGGGAATTCAGACCCGGTGCTTCGAACACAGCAAATGCGCAAATCAATTCCTGCAAGCGCACTGGCTGAAAACCCTGAGCCAGCAGCCAGCACATCATAACTCTTCACGCTGGGCATGTGCAGATTGCCAACGTCAAACGCCACTACTGCTCCTGCTGCTGCTTCTGCTGACGACGACTACTACTACTACTCCTCCTTGTGCTATAACAACTACTACTACTACTACTACTACTACTACTACTACTACTACTACTACTACTACTACTACTAATACAACTACTACTACAACAACAACCACAACAACAACAACAACTACTACTACTACTACTACTACTACTACTACTACTACTACTACTACTTCTACTACTACTACTACTACTACTACCACTACGACTACCACCACTACCACTACCACTACCACTACCACTGCCACTACCACTAACAATACTAACTACTACTACTACTACCACAACTACTACAACTACTACTACTGCTACTGCTACTACTACTACTACTACTACTACTACTACTACTACTACTACTACTACTACTACTACTACTACACCACTATCATTGGCACGACGGCCACGACGGTCTTGATTGCAATGCACCTGAATCGCGCTGTTCATAGTATCATCGCGAAGAATGGTAACAGTTGCAATAGCATCTACTGACTAACATGAATCATCATAACAGTATGAATACCGGTGTCCGCACCTCGTGCAATGGCAATTGGTTTTTCTCTGTGAATATCGTGGAACCAACGATTCGGCCTGAACCGGTCTCTGTCTGCATTCTGGCAGAACTTATCCGGAACACCGGTGCAAGCAACGTGGGGCACCCTGAACAGCATCCCCACCAGAGCAGCTCGACAGGCCAAGTTGCCATGAAGTCCGGGGAAGGGGGTCGTCATGTTGATCGGCCATGAGGCAAGCCGGGGCAGCGGGGGTGCCAGAGCTTCAGGGACTTAAGCTGAAATGTGGGATGGTCCAGGAGTCAGGGCTGCTGGTCCAGTGTCGCAGATCGGGCCCCACCCAGAATGTTCAATTCTATCCATTGGGTTTGTGCAGTATTGTCATAAGCGAAGTCAATGGATGGGACCCTAACGAAAGAACAAAGCAGGGACAATGGATCTGGGGCTCGCTACTGTTCACATGCTCATGCTACATGTTTGTCTAGGTTCAGGTGCATGTACATATACGATATACATATATAGTATGTATTTCATGTAGATACAGACAAGACTAGCAGCCTGCGTCCGCGTGTTAGGAACAGAACAATAAAGTAACAGCAGTACAAGCAAAACCGGAAATCCCGATTCAGGCCTTCCTAAAGAGATGGAACGACATCTTAGCAGCCTAACCTTAACTCGGTGAAACAGATGCTCCGCCGTTCCCAGGCAGGAGCTTCCGGGCCGAAGCAGCAGCGAGCGCAAGCAGGAATGTCCAAGGTTTGTCGGGAATCTCACGGCTGGAGCTGCAGTCTCACTACTCGGACTCAGGTTTACGTTGAGCATCATTGCGCACCAAGTATGCGGCTTTGCTGGGTCGACGGTTTCACAAGCGATCCGGTTCTAGGACACAAGCCAAGTCCAGGATGCAATGAGCGTGCAACGGATGTAAGGCTGGTCGAGGGTTCAATGTAACACCGATCTCGGATGCATACCTTTGCATTCGGCATAAGGTC